TCTCCCTCATTATTATTTATAAAATATTTTGAAGCTTCTGGTAACATTAATCTTTCTTTAGAGACAAGTTACTTTTGTTTCTGGCAATAATTTAGGCTATGACCACCCCTGATCTCATGTCACCTTGAAATGTGATGAACTAGGAAATAAATCTATTCAAAGCTTTGCTTTAATCCCTGTAACCTAGTTCTAGGTTAATTTTACTCTCATACCACAGACTTTCTGGTTCACAAACCAGAGTCTTGGGTTATTGTGTCCTTGGTGGGCTCTGAGAGTCCTGAAAGCATTGCACAACTTCTTGCCCTCTTTGCAATGCTTTTAGAATTGGCATACACTTGAAAGGGGAGAGCCAAACAAATGTTGGACTCAGTTCTCGAGGTTTCCTTTTTCCCTAGATATTGGATCCATAAATCTTCACTTTCTTGAGGGCTTCTTAAATGTCTTTTACTGGATTCAAAAAACACATTTTGTCCTGTTTAACCAGTCACTCTCATTAGAAAAGTTGATACTAAACAGATCAGATTGTTGTTTCAGGAAGTGTAAATTCCTGTCATCTCTTGCCAATTTTATTGCAAAAGACTTAACTATTCTTCCTGCTTCCATTCTGACCCACTTCTATCTATTCACCCAATAGTCAAGGTGACTCTTTTGAACATCTGTCATATCATGCCACTTTTTTGGTTCAAAATTCTCTAATGGTTTCTTGTCTCACTAAAAGAAAAGCTTTAAAAAATTCTTTATAACTTACAAAGCTTTGCATGACTTACCTCCTCTCAGGGAACACACTCATCAGAAGAAAGCTGGTAAGACAAAATAGAATTTCAACCAAAAGCATTAATAATGATAGATTGGCATTGCACGTAATAATAAAAGGAGCAAACCCTCAAAAGGATATAACAATAATGAACTGGTATGTACCCAGCATCACAGCTTTAAAATGTTCCAAACAAAAAAATGACAAATTACAAGTAAAAATTGACAAGTGTACATTTTTAGAGTAAAATTTTGAGATATTTCTTTTAGATTTATGTGGGTCAAGCAGACGAAACATTAACAGCAATATAAAAAACTTCAATGTCAAAAAAAGTAAATTTTATCTAAGACATGTAGAAGGCACAGCATCCAGTAAATAAAATAATGTCTAAGGGCATGGAACATTTATGAAAGTTTTCCATTTACTAGGTCACAAAGCAAATATCAAAAAATGTCATCAAATAGATGTTACACATCTCTGATTATAATGCAATTGTTAGAAATTAACAACAAAAATGCTTTTACGAAAAGTATATAAAACGCCTTAAAATATAGCCATAAATATTTTGGTTTAAGGCATAAATCTCTTGTAAACATCAAAATATTTTTAAGCTAAAATTTCTGAAAATACCTGAGTTGAAAGATCAAGAAGCTGGAAAAAAAACAGAGTACATTCAAAGAAGTTGCAACAAAAGGCAAACCTATAAAAATGTTAATTAGCTTGATTGTGGAAATCATTTCACAATATATACATATACTAAATCATCATATGTACACCTTAAATGTATACTTTTTTTGTTTGTTTTGTTTTGTTTTGTTTTTTTTGAGACGGAGTTTCGCTGTTGTTACCCAGGCTGGAGTGCAATGGCGCGATCTCAGCTCACTGCAACCTCCGCCTTCTGGGTTCAGGCAATTCTCCTGCCTCAGCCTCCCGAGTAGCTGGGACTACAGGCCCTGGTCAACAAGGTGAAACCCTGCATACGGTCAACTATACCCTAATGAAACAGAGGAATAAAAAAGAAATACAAGTAATAAGAACAAAAACATTAGTGAGAATTGACAGAGCCTAGCAGGACAGATGGGGAGAGAGAAAAGAGAGAGACCGAGAGAGAGGGCGGGTGCACAAGCACATGTTCAGGCACAAATAACATTAGGAATGAAAAGGGATTGAAGATTATGGTAGAGATTTTTAAAAGATAATCAATACTATATTGTTGTTTTCCATAGTGGTTGTGCTAGTTTATATTTCCACCAGCAGTGTAGAAGTGTTCCCTCTTCACTGCATCCACGCCAACATCTATTATGTTTTGATTTTCTGTTATGGCCATTCTCGAGGGAGTAAGGTGGTATCACATTGTGGTTTTGATTTGCATTTCCCTGATCATTAGTAATGTTGAGCATTTTGTCATATGTTTGTCGGCCATTTGCGTATCTTCTTTTGAGAATTGTCTATTCATGTCCTTAGCCCACTTTTTGATGGGATTGTTTGTTTTCTTGCTAATTTGTTTGAGTGTTTTTGTAGATTCTGGATGTTAGTCTTTTTTGGATGTATATATTGTAAAGATTTTCTTTCACTTTGCGGGTTGTCTGTTTACACTGCTGACTGTGCCTTTTGCCACACAGAAACTCTTTATTTTATGGTCCCAGCTATTTATTTTTGTTTTTATTGCATTTGCTTTTGGGTTCGTGGTCATGAAATCCTTGCCTAAGCCAATGTCTAGAAAGGGTTTTCCAATGTTATTTTCTAAAATGTTAAAGTTTCAGGTCTTAGATTTAAGTCCTTGATCCATCTTGAGTTGAGTTTTGTATAAGGTGAGAGACGAGGATCCAGTTTCATTCTCCTACATGTGGCTAACCAATTATCCCAGCACCGTTTGTTGAATAGGGTGTCCTTTCCCCACTTTATGTTTTTGTTTGCTTTAAGATCAGTTGGCTGTAAGTATTTGGGTTTATTTCTGGATTTCTGTTCTGTTCCATTGGTCTATGTGCACATTTTTATAACAGACTCGTGTTTTGGTGACTCTGGCCTTACAGTATAGTTTGAAATAAGGTAAGATGATGCCTTCAGAGCTTTGGCTATGTGAGCTCTTTTTTGGTTCCATATGAATTGTAGGATTATTTTTTCTAGTTCTGTGAAGAATGATGGTGGTATTTTGATGGGTATTGGGGAAAAAGTGTGGAGATTCCCTCAAGAACTAAAAGAAGAACTACCATTTGATCCAGCCGTGCCACTACTGTGTATCTACCCCGAGGAAAAGAAGTCATTATATGAAAAAGATACTTGCCCATGCAGGTTTATAGCACATAATTCACAATTGCAAAAATGCAGAACCAACCCAAATGCCTTTAAATCAATGAGTGGATAAAGAAACTGTGGTATATATACCTGATGAAATATTACTCAGCCATAAAAATGAATGAATTAATGGCATTCCCAGCCACTTGGATGGGATTGGAGACTACTATTCTAAGTGAAGTAACTCAGGAGTGAAAAATCAAGTATCAAATCTTCTCACTCATAAGTGGGAAGTAAACTACAAGGATGCAAAGGCATAAGAATGATGCAATGGACTTTGGGGACTCAGGGGGAAAGGGTGGGAAGGGGGTGAGGGATAAAAGACTATAAATTCAGTTCAGCATATACTGCTCGGGTGATGGGGGCACCAAAATCTCACAAATCACCGCGAAAGAACTTACTTATGTAACCAAACACCATCTGTTCCCCCAAAACCTATGGAAACAAAATAAATAAATAAAGACAGAGATAAAATAGAAAGCAAAAAATAATTATAAAATAAATAAATAATATAAACTGCTTAGGCTGATTTTATTGAAAACTTAGATGAAGTGAAAATTTTTCTAGAAAAATATAAATTTCTAGATTGACTCATGAAGCAATAGAAACTCTTAATAAATTAATAACCATTAAAAATACAGGAGCTACAGTTAATCTAAAGAAGTATTAATCATGATAGTCAGGTGCAATGGCTTTTGCCTATAATCCCAGCACTTTGGAAGTCTAAGATGGGAGGATTACTTGAGGCCAGGATTCGGAGTCCTGGACAATGTAGAGAGAACCCATGTCTAAAATGATAGATAGATAGATAGATAGATAGATATAATTTACAGAGGATTGACTACTAGAGGGAATGAAAAAGAATTCTTTTTTTTTTTTTTTTTTTTTTTGGAGACGGAGTTTCTGGAGACGGAGTTTCGCTCTTGCTACCCAGGCTGGAGTGCAATGGCGCAATCTCGGTTCACCGCAACCTCCACCTCCTGGGTTCAGGCAATTCTCCTGCCTCAGCCTCCTGAGTAGCTGGGATTACAGGCACGCGCCACCGTGCCCAGCTAATTTTTTGTATTTTTAGCAGAGACGGGGTTTCACCATGTTGACCGGGATGGTTTCGATCTCTTGACCTCGTGATCCACCCGCCTCGGCCTCCCAAAGTGCTGGGATTACAGGCTTGAGCCACCGTGCCCGGCCTGAAAAAGAATTCTATAAAGAATGCCGTAGGGCTGAGGGAGAGAGTGCCCAAGGAAATAAAAAACTTAAAAGGTGGTTGAGAGGGGGGACTTACCCAGACCTCACTTGAAAAGTTATAGTTGCACTGGGTGGAAAACAAGATTGCAGAGTTGATCTGGGTCAAAACTGGTTCCCAGATGGCAAGCCCAAAGGTATCCATAAGCGTTCAGAATAGAGTGTTCATGGACCTCTCTGAGAAGCTTGCCATAACAGGTGCTCCTGAACGCTCTGGAAAGTTGGTTAGAGTGCCTGTGGAACTTATCAAGAACATCCCCACTGGGGCAGCTGCTGCACTTGCTGGAAGCCACCCCTGGCAGCGGGATATCTAAAATGTTGGGGCTGAGCTCCACTAGGGGTACAAGAGTGCACTCACTGAGCAGCACAGAGTAAGAAGGAGCAAAAACATCCTGGAACCAAGAAGAGAGGTTTGACACATTATTTATATTACCAAAAAACTGAAAACATTTATGTAACAGTTAAATATAAAGTTAAAATGAATTCATCCTACATGCATCAACATAAATATATCACCAAATGTAATTTTTAGTGAAAAATTACAGAAGTTTTGTACAATATTATGGAACATATAATAACTTTTAAAGCGTGCAGTACTATATACATATATCCGTTGATAGTATGTGTGGGAATGTATCAAGTTTAGAATGTTGATTGCCTTTGGAAAGAGTATAAAGAGAATGGAAGTGGGAAGAAGAATAGAGGGACATTTAATTAAATGTAATATTTTATTACATCTTAAAAGATCTTACAAAAATGGGAAATGTTAAGCTGAGTAGTGAGTTACCAAATATGGATAATATTACCCTTGATAAATTGACTGGTCACAATGTATTCTGAAGGGCAGATTTTAAAATCTGTTCAACCCAAAATTTTCCACACTTTTCTGACCCAAATTTTTTTTCAACGAAATGTCCATTGATGTCTTACTGAAGCCTACTCCATATAGCACAGATTCGAGAAATAAAGATTTGCTCAAATGAAACTGGTTATACGTAATTGAATCAGTAGATTTATGAGAAGGAATTAGTCTATTAGAGAAACCACTCTTTAAGCTGAGTCTGATTTGTTAAATGATAAATAGAGTTCTCTCAGTGTTTGATTTTTATGTCATACGTGATACCTTAGCTCAAGCCTTGATTTTTCAACTGAAGAATCATTTGTAGTAGAAAATATTACAAAAGAAGTGTTGTGACCTATATGTCCATTCCAATCCCACCAATTTTCTGATTCTACACAAGCTCAATCAGTTGTAACACCCTTTAATTATCCACTAAAATAGTCGTTTTCCAGTTCAAAGCATTCAAAACCTACAAAAGCTTATGTTTTAGGCAATGATTGACAGTACTCCTTTGGAGGTGGGGACCAGAGAAATACTGCTAATTCTTCACTATTTCTTCTTATGGATGTCTTTGTAATAGAAAAACATAAACTCAGATTTTGTAAATATCACTTTTCTAGTCAGGATGCTTGATTCTTAAGTCAAGGAATTCATAAAGGCAATTTAAATAAAAATATACCATTAAATCCTGGCTGGTACCCTTTGGTGTAATTTGCTGACCTTGATATTTGTCAGTTTTTCTACAAACACATAAATTTTAGTGCAATCTTAATTTGTAAAATTGTAAGAAAACCTTGCTGGGGTGACTCATTCAAGAATTGAAAATTGGCACTACAGCTAAGCATTGAAAAGAATTATCTGTTCTCCTTTTAGGTCTGTCTTTTATAAACAGAGTTAACTCTTTTTTTCTGATGTCACAAAAATGTTCTTTCCTTTATTCAACTAAGTTTTTTTTTTTTTAATGTCCAGATGTTGAATAGCTTTAAGCCAATATTGGCCAATTGAGCTCCTTTTAAAAATGACCAGGGAGGCAATAGAAACTGTATGACTTTAGAATGGCAAGTCTCTTTGCCCAGTGAATATTTATTAAGCACCTACTATGTTCCTGACATAGTTCTAGCATTAATGATTATAACAGGAGTGAACAAGAAAAACAAAGCTTTTGATGAGCGCAGTGATTGTGAGAAACATTCAAGTAATTATTATAAAGCACAAAGAGTGTGGCTACAGGAGAAATACGACTTGATCCTTCAGAAGCTGACCGGCTCCTACTCATTTTAAAGTCATGTTTTAGCGTCAAATATTTGCTAGGCATTGTTCTAGCAGTTGTAGCACGGCAAGGAAAAGCTCGAAGTACGTGTTCTCACAGAGCTTCCATTCTTACGGCAGTCAAATCTGCAGCAGTCATCTTCATCAGCACCACGCACAAAACCAGTATCTTCCGAAGAGTGATGCTTTTACTGCCCACAAAACATGAGATAATGTCGATAATAGTTAGACACTTTAATTTATAATTGTTTTTTATTCATAGCTTGTGATACAGGCTTTCCATTTGTGGTAGTATATCTAATGATGCCTTCCTGACTTGATTTATTTAACTTTTTAAAACTGAGTTCAAAGAAAAGCTATTTAGTAAGAATAGATTGTATATCGATTTGGAGAAAAAAAAGTTATGGTGATGCACATATCACCAACAAATGGACAACACAAATAAGATGTTATCCAGATATCCAAGGTCAGATTCTCAGTGTAACTTTTTTTATTATTTAAAGTTTTAATAGATATATGACAATTCAATTCTGGGGATGGGGGTAAGAAAAAAGACAAATTTAAAATTCTTCACTCCTGTCTTTTGCAAACTGCTTGAAAGTGGGAAAAGTCTTATTTATAGTCCTCAAGATAACCTGTGCTTAGTAGGCACTAAATAAATGCTACATAAAGGAATGAAAGAATTAATTAATGAAATGAGAAATGCTCTTTTGTATCATTCAAACTAGAGTGAATACTCTGGGCTGACTGACTAATTATCCGTGGGGTATGAGAGTGAAGAGTCTTTGTGAACAAATCCATCTACAAGAACAATTTAGGACTCTGCCTTGAAGATTCAGATCTGCCTTTCTAATAAAAAGAACATAAAAGAGATTACCCTTTATGCTGTGTAACTGCAGACCAATTGGTCTGCAGTTACATAGCATATCACTGCCATAGAAGAACAGTGATCATGAAAAACTCTTACCAAATTGTATGTATGCATTTTTGAGAAGACTGTCTAAATTAAGATCCCATTAAATAATATTTTACCACCAGTGGGGTCTCAGGATTATGCTATCAATTGAAAGAGAATCCATGGAAAATGCAAATCATAGAGAGTTCTCACTGAACCTATAGAAACTAAAAAAAAAAGGAGGGTTGAAAGCAACCTTAAAAATGGCATAATTTTGTGTAGGGGAAAAATACTAGAATGCTAAAATATTGTTTCTTTCCACATTTTGTGCAGCTTTAGAATAATGTTTTATTTCTCTTATTTCAAAATGTTAGTTCCTGCCATTTTCGACTACCAAGGAAGCTATTTTCTATTTCGAGACTTTGAAGAATTAAAAGCTTGTTAAATTTTCTGCTCATAGAAGAATCTTAAGAAACAGTTTAATTTCAAAGAACTCAGGGTTCAAATAGCTCCTACTTTTATTTTTGCTGTGACAGTTTAAAGACTAACTTTACAATAGGCAACCTCTCACTGTCGTATGAGTTCCACCAGGAATTCTCTCTTTTCCCTTCCAAACTCTGATTGCCACACAGTCAGCAACACACAAATAAAGTTAATATTCTGGTCCTGTTGATATCATTCTCGGGTTTTCTTGTCAAGGGTCATCAGAAATTTTGGCATTCGGCAGAGTGGTACACGACCACTGCCAAGTCCTCTTACCACATCAGACACACTCCATAAGCCTTCCTGAATCTATTTGGCAGAAATAGGATCAAGACATCCATGTTTGAAATGAAACTCTCCCAGTGGCTGCACCTCCAACGTGGACATCTCTTTGCTTTCCTGCTTGCCAGGCAATGGTGTGAGTCAAGTAAGATCAGATGAAGGCGACCTGCTGAGTTATCAAACTTGCTGTTCTCCAAGAAACTGATGGTTTCCTCAGTTTGAACAATTGCCTGGGAACAGGAGTCAGCTCCCGATCCTGCCTAAGTTCATTGTAAATAGTTTGACAAGGGGGAAAATGGCTTTCTTCTTCTTGCTAATGCATCTTTGATATGTACCACATCTAGATCCACTTACAAGCAGTTACTGTGTCAGTCCTTTGACTTCCCTGGCAAATCAATCAAAGGATCTACCATTTCTCTGCAAAAAAAATTTAAAAAATTGATTTCTTAGTGCTGAGCCTACACTTCCATGATCAAAGACCCTCTATGAGCATTTTGTAAAGAAGAACTATGGTAAATACAGCATAGAGAGCATGCTTTCCAATGACCAGGTAAGCAAGGATAATTTATTCATTTACTTATTTGCATATTTACACTTACATTTTTGTGTGGGAGCATGTCACATCAGAGATTAGAAGGCAGTTTTCACACAAAAGCTCTAAAGAAACATGTTATTCTGTGGAAGTTATTTGATTGTTCCTCATAGTCTTTTCCTTTCAATTGGCATTTAGAGAACTAGCCACACAGGCTGCTCCCCACCTTCCTGGTTGATACCATTTCTTCCTGTTCTCCTTATCTATAGCTGTGATGATGCACAGCTTCCTCTTTTTTCTTTCTTGTGGGTTTGTGCAGTTTCTTGATGTTTGTGACAGGCCACGATAGGGGAAGCTTTTATCACCGTGGGGTTTGGAGGCCTCAGTAAATTGAAAATTGCAAATGAAATCCACTGGGCTTGAATTCATCAGCTATTATGTCAGATGACCTTTGGCAGCTGCTGATAAAAATGAGAGAATGTTAGCTCTGATCCAATTTTCAGCACTAACCATTCCTTTTCAAATCCATTCACAGTCAGGCAGCAGACACATGGGAAGTGAAAATGATAGGGTTTCAAGAGAACGGCATTGTGTTGCAGATTAAGATTTTCTCCCCCTATTTCTAGAGGTCGGCCCCCAGGCCCCTGTCTGGTATCTACCTATTGTCCAATCAGTTTCAATATCTGCTTCAGAGGACATGTTAGCCATCCTTACAGATAAGTGCTTACAGGAGAGAATGCTGGACTTAATAGTTTTGCTTAGGAGGCATCAAGGGTCGCAGTGTAGCAATATTGACTGGCACATGTTAGTTTAATCTGACATTCTAAGGAATGTGACGCTAGATTCTTTCAGAGTTGTTGATCTCTAGGTGATTTTTGTTACTAGCTCTGGTTTTACGAAATTTATTTTTGCACAACTATTTATATTCATGAGTCAGAGATATTCTAAAATATCTATTATAGCCAAGCAAAGGCAGCCTAAGCTTGTCTAAAAAAGTACATGGATGCCAAAATTGTGAAAATGGGAAAAAATGAGTTGTGCGTATTCTGTTCTTGGAATGCAGCTAAAGGTCAAGGTCATTGAAAGTATTTTAGGAGCTAGATTATCCTGAAATAAATATGTGCCTATCAACTGGTAAGTTTCTCAATAAACATAATAGATTTTTATCATGCAGAGAAAAAGAATTAGCCTTGTTACTTTTGCTGAGGTAGCATGAACCAGCAAAATAATACTGTAGATGGTTGAGTCATCAGTATGATTTCCCATCTATGAAACACAGGAGCAATCTGGAAATAAAGAAAACCGAAATTAATTTTTTCTCCACACTTCTCTGTGTTCAGAAAAGAAAAAAAAAATCTCCTTCGATCTTTTGAAAATGTTGAGTTCATTGAGGGAACAGTCTCAAGCAAATGCAGAGTTGAGAAACACCAAGTAATTGAAAACCATGTGTCATTATCAGCATTCTCTAAAGAATCTGATAAACTGAAAAATGTTAAATCTGCATTTCTCTAGGTTTTCCTGATATGCAGATTTTTTTCATTTTTTCTCTTGACATTGGTTAACATTATATGAAAATAGTTGCTCACACATGATTAGGGTTGCAGAAATGCTTTCTATGGCATAGCAATTCCTTTCTGATACACCAACCCATAGCATTAGGGAACTTTAAAAATGCTTAGATGCGTCTTCTAAATGCTAGTCTTTGGAAAGAAAAACTATGGTTCTATAAGCTTCCTTCATAAGAAGAACAATATAGCTAATATATATGTAAATTATCCATAAATTACATCTTACCTTTAAAAACTAATTTAAAGTTAGTATCCCTCTGTTTGCCTTACTACCTTTTGTTGGTATTCACAAGTTCTTCTAAGAGAAGACAATTATCTGTTGTCCAATGAGTATGTATAAATAAAATGCTTAACGATAGTGTCAAAAAACACCATATGCACCTTGTTTTGGAGGTGGGGTCTCACTTTGTCTCCCAGGCCAGAACTCAGTGGCTCAGACACAGCTTACTGCAGCCCTGACCTCCAGGGCTCAAGCCATCCTTTCACCTCAGCCTCCTGAGTTGCTGGGACTACAGGCGTACACCACTATGCCAGCTAATTTTTTATTTTTTGTAGAGATGGAGTCTCACCATGTTTCCCAGGTTTGTCTCAAACTCATGAACTCATGCAATTTGCCATCCTTGGCCTCCCAAAGTGCTGGGATTACAGGGCTGCACCACCATACCGGCCTCCACATGCACATTAAAAGTCAGTTTTTATTGAATAATATTTTTAAAGACTCAAGTTATAAGCAATAATTGGGTCTAAAATTTACAGAGGAACCATCCAACCAAAAAAAATGGATTCAGCATATTCCAAGATAGCTTGATTCCCCAGACGATCAGATTCTCTTTCTTTCTTTCTTTTTTTTTTTTTTAACCAATGTAGGGACACATTTTAGAGTCCCATAGATTTCTTTTTCTTTCTTTTTTTTTTAGTCTCTAATTTCCAATTTATTTTAAAGAACAGAAACTATGCGGTAAGTTTCACTTTACCTAAATTTACCAGTGCATCCATGAATCGCACCAGAATGAGGACAAGTTGATTATCTTAATGATTCTGTCATGAAACTTGCACATTGTATCCAAAGGCTAAGACCAGCAGATGGAGGCTAACTAACCTTAGCAAACTAAAGCAGGTTAGTTCTGTGCACGAGCACTCTCTTCTTGGGAGTTAAGGTATCTGAGAAGGCAGTTCTCTCCCCACATTAAGTCCTCAAAAACCCGTAGATTTCTTGAGCTTTGTTACATGATTTCCTGGCCCTACACACATTCGTACCTCAAGGAAAAAGAAACCTTTGCCTGGATGGCTTTGTAAAAACACCCCTACAACCTTAGGAGGCCGAGCCAAACCTCCCTTCTGACAGAACAAACAGAAGATGGTGAAGTTTGCACTTCACAAGTTTATCAAGGACTGTAGCCACACATTGCTCAATTCATCCATATCCACAGAGCAGGACTTGTTCCTCAAGTCTCCGACTACCTTTTAGGCTTGCAATGGATGCTGTCACTATTTCCAAAGAAGTAAATAATTTGATAATGGACATGCTCTTAGCGAACTGCAACTGTGACAGCCCCAAGCCACTGAGACCCACTCAGACAACAGGCTCCTGCCAGCAGAAACAGCAGCACCCACACTTGGCTGTGCCCTGGGGCCTGGCTTTCAGCCACTGCGATCTGCATGCTCAGATACATGAAGCAATTAGATAGGCCTGTTAAGTTTTATGTCTTCATTATTGATTTATCCTATGAACTCAGCATGATTATTGAACCAGACCAGCCACTGAAACAATTGAGTCATTGATCCTTACATAGGCATGGATTTCCCATTTAGATTTGGGGAGGAAATACATGGATATATTATTATTTCTGGGGTTTTGTCTGAGGGCTTGAACAGAAATTTAGATAATTCATTATTTCCACCTCCCGATCTTCCTTCATTCCCAGTCTGATAGCACCCCTTCCAAAAGATATTTCTGTTATGATTGATATGTTCTCCTCTGTGCTGCCCAGTGTCATAGCCTGTAGCCACAGGTGCCTATAAAGCATTTGAAAGGTGACTGGTGTGACCAAGGAACTGAATTTTTTATCTTGTTTTATTGTAACCAGTTTGAATTTAAATAGCAGCATGTGGCCGGTGGCTGCCATGTTGGACAGCACAGCAGCTCTGTCGCATGCTATACATTTCTACTCCATGTAACAACAGCACTTGTCAAAATTCTACTTGCTTTTCAAGACCCTGTGGACCTACCACCTCTTTCCTAAAACTGATTACTTCTACCCCTTCAACATTACCTTTCTCTACATACATGTCATTTGAAAACCGTGGATCATTTTCTGCCTGGTATTATCTGCTCTACTATCCCACAAGTTCCTAGAGGACAAGGACTATGTCCACCCGGCATGTGTTGTGTCAATAACAAATATTTGAGGAATTAAAATGAGCTGTAGGTTTTGCAGGGAGAAGGACAATTTTTTGTGAAGAACCTCAGTTTTAATACATGCTAATTAGAGAAGCACTAACACGACCATCCTTTTCACACCCTCTTTTAAAAAACCATTTAGGAAAAATCCAATTATTTATCTCTGCTCATATATTGATAGCACTGATGGAAATCTTAAGCAAAATTATTATGTTTTCTTCTTTTGAGGGCAGGAAACTTTAAGACACTTCTTTGTCTTCATAGAGAATAACCCAATCCTTACATGTAGGAAGAACTCAGTAAATACTTCTTGAGTAAATAAATCAATGAATAAGAATTCTTATCCAGTGAACATTCATGTCTGTGTGTCTTTATGATGAATGATCTATATTCCTCTGGGTATTGGATAAAGAAAATCCGGTACATATACACCATGGAATACTATACAGCCATAAAAAAAAAACAAGATCATGTATTTTGCGGGAACATGGATGGAGCTGGAGGCCATTATCCTTAGCAAACTAACGCAGGAATAGGAAACCAAATACCACATGTTCTCACTTACAAATGGGAGTTAAATAATGAGAACTCATGAACACCAAGAAGGAAACAACACATTGTGATGTACTTGAGGGTGAGTGTGGGAGGAAGCAGAAAGCAGAAGAAAAATAACAAACTATTAGTTGCTAGGCTTAATGCCTGGGTGATTAAATAATCTTTACAACAACCCCCATGACACAAGTTTACCTATATGATATAACAAACCTTCACATGGTCCTCCAAACCTAAAAGTTATTATTATTTTTTTATTTATTTTTTATTTTTTTTGAGACGGAGTTTCGCTCTTGTTACCCAGGCTGGAGTGCAATGGCGCGATCTCGGCTCACTGCAACCTCCGCCTCCTGGGTTCAGGCAATTCTCCTGCCTCAGCCTCCTGAGTAGCTGGGATTACAGGCACGTGCCACCATGCCCAGCTAATTTTTTGTATTTTTAGTAGATACGGGGTTTCACCATGTTGACCAGGATGGTCTCCATCTCTCGACCTCATGATCCACCTGCCTCGGCCTCCCAAGGTGCTGGGATTACAGGCTTGAGCCACTGCGCCCGGCCCTAAAAGTTTTTTTTAAATAAAGGATTATTATTCAAGTTTCCGAGTATGTTTTAAGTCCCCAAATCAAGATATGTTTACCTTGGCTTCTAATGTTAGAAAAATTCCTTCCAGAATATTTACAGGAAATTCTACTCAAGACTTTGGGAGGCTAAGGTGGGATTGCCCAGGAGTTTGAGGCTGCAGTGAGCTATGATTAGGTCCCTGCATCCCACCCTGGGTGACAGAGACACTGTTCCTTAAAAATATCTACTCAAAAGTAAACTAAGAGAATGGATTTTACAGTTTACAAATCTTTAAAGGTGAATAAAAATACCATGTATATTCGTGTGTGTTTACGGTATTTAAGGAGCTATTAGCATTTTAGCACTAAATGGATGATATTGATATAAGACATAACACTAACTTTCTTTTCATGGTGCGGTATGACACTTAACTGGCTGTGGGAGGACAGTAAGGTAGTCTGAGACAGCTGTGCTATGATTAAAAGAACACTGGATTTGGAGTTAGAAAATCTTGTTTTAAAACCAAATTCTTTCACTTACTAATTAGGAGTAATAATTTTTATTTCCACAATATATTATAATAGCTTATACTTATTGGATACATATTATGCCCCAGAACTGTTCTCAGAACACTAGGTATGCTGACTTATTTAATCCTCCCACAACCCCATAAAGTCAGTATTCTTATTCCCATTTTACAGATGATAAAACCGAGGCACAGAGCGATTAAGTAACTTGCTCAAGGTCACACTGCAGTTGTGGTGGCACCTGGCCATAGTAGGTTTTTCATGCTGTTTTGGAATATTAGCATGGTGTAGATTTAGGTTTAAGCAGGGCATACTGGCTCTTATTATCTTACCATCTCTGATTATATTCTCTTCAATAAAAGGAAGATAATGCTATTTTCTGGCCATGTCACAGGAAAGGCTGCTATGAGGGTCAAATGAGATCATATGAAAATGCAATTACCCATTTACTAATTGTGCTTAGTAGTTGTGCCTGGTGTCTTACATTAAGTTTCCTGTGCCTTTTTTTGTGAGTAGGAAACCATCAACCCTAAATATGCCTCATTTGCTGACAAGAGGTCCTCCTCACTCCCATTTTAAGTCAATTAGTCATGACCACACTGAAATAAATCCCAAGAAAGGGAACCATCAGTACTTCAGCCTCCCAACACCTAGTTATACGGCAATGCCCTTTGGGCCATTTTTGCCCAAATTTTGTGAGAAATCTGGGAAAGAATAGATGAGAAGGGAAGGAACTGGTGGATTGAAGCGAGTGTAGGAGAATCCCCAGAGGCCACCGTGAAGAACCGTAATTTAATCCAACTAAGAACAGGCAGCCATCCCAACACTTTCATTCACCTCAGCAGGCTACTGTCAGAGTCACAAAATACTAGCCACTAAATGGGTCCTTGTGTAAAACCTTTAAAAAAACATAACAATACTTGATATCAGAGCACTCTGAAGTTATTTCTCATTCCCAGAAATACATACATGGAATACATGGGGCTTTTGAAATGAGGTTAAATTGTTTAGCTCATCCTACTTTAGGCCTCTTATGCCTACTCATTTGTCTGTGAGTAACTTACAGTACTCCAACGGGACCGCATGTCTATGCACATAAGTTTGTTAGTCTATAGATACCCAAAATTATGTCCAAGCAGATTTATGACTATAGATAAAACATTTCTCATCAATACCTTCCTCCCACATATTGTATTAGTTTCTTTTTTGTAACTGCAATCATGCAAATGAATAAGAACCAGTGGCTTTAAGGAGCACAGGTTAGGTGGAGGCCTTAAAGAAATGGACCTGATTATAATAAAATATAAAATGCTAACTGCACTTCATAATTCTTATGAACACAGCCTCTTGAGGACATACAATGCTTGTTTTAATGAGGTAAGGGTGAGTCACAGCTGGAAAAAAAATGGGATAAGGAGAGAAAGGTTCAGAGTGAAGGAAATTGTTTTAAATCCATCTGACCAATTAATATTCAGTCTGATTCAAGTCTAAGGCTGACACTGGCCATCCCTGTTTATTGTGAATAATAATAGTAATGTCGATAGCTTCTGTTCCTCAAGTGTTTACCATGTGCAGATATATTGCAGAGTAAATGCTTCTAGCTGCTACCATCAGTAAACCCCCAAATCCCAGTGGCTTTCTAAAAAACAATCCGATCAATATCAGTAGAGTCTGCTAAGGGTCAGGTGGCTTTTCTTTGTGATGATTCGGGGAAAACCTTCCTTTCATCCTGCACTTCTAGCAGTGTGGATGGCATCAAGAAGACCTACCTGCAGCAGTCCTCAGGTGACACATTTTTGGGGAGCGGGACAATCTAGTTTAGCTCCACGCCAAGGAAAGTGAAATGGATGGTGAACACATGGCATCGTGCTTACGGCAGCCAGACACTGTGCTTCGCATGTTTTACTCATTTAATGTTTATACAACATTATGGAATGTTGTGGAAGAGAGAGGCTACTAACCTCACGTCATAGATGAGAAGCCAAATTGCAGCAAGTTTAAGTAAGCTGCCCAAGTCACACAGTTAGTGAATGGTGGAACCAAGGTGCAAACACAGCCTGTCCTTAATGGATGAGGAAAAACAAAATTTTACACATGAATGTGCAAAAAAATTATATAATATAGACAAAGAACATGAAAAAAGAAAAAAAATAGAGCCTGTAATTTGCTTAGGAGAAATAGGCAGGCTCGGTAATAATTAAAGAAATGGAAATTTAAGGGAGAAAAGGTTTACCTATGGAATTAACAACAGGAACAAAAAACTTAATGCTGTACTCAGTGCTGCAAGGGTATGATAGAAAAAATATTGCAACAAGAGTCACTGAAGTGTTAATAGGGATTGTTTATGGTAGCGGATTTATGAACGTATGTCTCACTGTTTTACCTTTCAACATTATTTATCTTTTTTTTTTTTTTGAGACAGAGTCTCACTCTGTCACCAGGCTAGAGTGCAGTGGTACAATCTTGGCTCACTGCAACCTCCACCTCCCGGGTTCAAGAAATTCTCCTGCCTCAGCCTCCTGAGTAGCTGGGACTACAGGCTTCTCCACCAGGTCCAGCTAATTTTTTGTATTTTTAATAGAGATGGGGTTTCACCATGTTGGCCAGAACGGTGTCAATCTCTTGATCTTGTGATCCGCTTGCCTCGGCCTTCCAAAGTGTTGGGATTACAGGTGTGAGCCGCCACGCCCGGCCTACACATTGTTTTATCTTATAAACACATGAAACAAACATCTTTCTTTATTCAAACAGCCCCAGATCTATTTTGGGCTGCATTATGGAGGGCATCTTTTTTATTTTCTGGGGAATATTTTCTCCCTGAGACTGCAAATGATAAACTCATTTTTTAAAGCCTAAAATTTGTAATTAAAACCAGGGAGGGTTTTTTTTTTCTAGATTAAAAACATACCATTTGAACCTTTGTTTCTTCCTCTTAGCCCTCCAGTTCTTACCATGTTGATGTAGTAGAGTGATAAATGAAGATATTTTCATCTTTGTTTTACCAGCAGGGCTTCCAAGATGATCAGAACATTTTGCTAAGGAATATCCCTTAAATTCTGCATCTGTGAACAACCAGAGCACTGAGGTTTGATTAGTGCCTTACCACTGACAATGTTTTCACAAACGTAAGAGCATTTATGATTCTTCGTATACCGATTTCCTTTAGCCCAGGCTCTCTCCTTGCTCTCACCTGTAGGTTCAACTATATTTAAGTTTACCTCCATGGAGGAAGAAGTATTTCTCATTTATTTAAATCCATTTCGTTCTTTAAGAAGGATTTCAGGCAGATCACAAGATTGACTGAGTACCATCATTAGCTTTGCTGCTTGTCATCCTCCTCTCCCAGCAAATGCTCAGGCACCCAGTAGCTGGGTTCTGCCCAGCTGCCCAGATTTCTCATACAGGGCCCACACACTGCCCAGCGCCCACTGCCTCGATTCTGTCTCAGCCCCAAACATCCTTTGTTCCAACCCCTAGGACCAGCCAACCGTATTTCCTACGTCACTATTTACTCTGAAACTCTTGACCAAACTCCTGTTTATAGACCCTCTTGAAAAAAAAAAATAACAGAAACAATAAATGGTGATGGTTAATATTCTCAAGGAAGTCATGCCAAGTTCCATGTTCACTTCTTGCTCAGAAAGAAAAATTTCATATTACCGAAATCATGGAAAGGATAACTTTCCTATGGGAAATCTATGTCCAAAAGTTTCTCAGCTTTCTGTTTAATGTTGCAACTAAATAGCAAAACGGAACCTGTTCATCAAGCCCCACTAATGAAGTAACAGATGCCATCACTGTCGATCAAAACTGGCCAGAGTAGCTCGCATTCCTTTGAAGCCTAGACTTGTTAGAATCCAGAGCCTATAGATGTGCTTAGACCGACGAATAAGGGAAATCCGGGGTTCAAAACATGAGATGATCTCTGAATGGTATATAACAGTGTTTGGGTTTTCTTACTGAATGATTTATTTAGATTTCTCACCTTAAAATTGTAAGACCCTAAAACACAGATTAATTTTTTGCTGATATTTATCTGCCCTTTTAGCTTACCTAAATAATATTGCTCAAACTTTTTCTATATCCTTATTGTACAAAAATATATAGTGGGAAATATATAGAACATAAAATTGACAATTGTTACGAATTTTAAGTGTACAATTCACTGGCATTAATTTCATTCACAATGTTGTGCAACCGTCGTCACTGTTTTCCAAACCTTTTCCATCCCAGACGAAACCGCTGTATCCATTAAGCAATAACCTCCCATTTCCTTCCCCTCGTTTCCTAGTAACCTCTCTTTTACTTTCTGTCTCCATGAATTTGCTTATTCTAGATATTTTCCATACATAGAATTATACAATATTTTTCCTTTTGTGTCTAGCTGGTCTCAGTGAGCAGAATGTTTTCAAGGTTCACCCCTGTTCTAGTGTATCGTTTGTTTCTGGCTGAATAATATTCTATTGTCCAACATTTTGCTTATTCACTTATCTGTCAATAAATACTTGAGTTGTACGGCCTTTTGGCTACTATGAATTTTACTGCCATGAACTTTCGCATACAAGTGTCTGAGTTTCCGTTTTCAATTATCATACACTTAGGTACAAGGGGTGGAATTGCTGAGTTATATGATCATTCTGTGTTTAGCTTTTAAGGAACTCAAAACTGTTTCCACAGTGACTGTACCACTGGATAGTCCCACTAGCAATATACACAGGTTCCAATTTCTCCACATCCTTGCCAACACTTGTTATATTCTGGGAGGGGTGTGAGTGTGTGTGTTTTCTAGCTATCGTAGTAGGTGTGAAGTGGTATCTCATGATGAATTGTATCTGCACTCTCCTAATGGCTAATGAGTTGGGCATCTTTTCATGTGCTTATTGATCGTGTGTGTTTATCCTGTTTAGAGAAATATCTATTTAAGTCCTTGGCCCATTTGTTAAATAGGGTTGTCTTTTTGTTATTGAGTTGTAGGAGTTCTCCCTATATTCTGTATGTTAAACTCATCAGATATATGATTGGCAAATATTTAATCTTTTCTCCTATTCTATAGGTTGTCTTTACACTTTCTTAATAATGTCCTTTGCTTCACAAATGTGTTTAAGTTGGATGAAGTACAATTTATCTGTTTTCTTTTTTGTCGCTCATGTGTTTTGTGCCATATCTAAGAATTCATTGCCAAATAAGGACATGAAGATTTATCCCTGTATTTTCTTCTAAGAGTTTTATCATTTTAGTTCTTATATTTAGGTTGTTGATCTAGTTTTAGTAAATTTTTGTGTACAGGATGAAGTAGGGGCCAAATTTCATTCTTTCACATGTGGAAATCTAGCTGTCCCAGCACCATCTGTTGAAGAGATTATTCTTTCTTCATTAAATGGTCTTGATACCTTTGTCAAAATAAATTGGCCATAAATGTTTGGGTTTACTTCTGGGCTCACAATTCTATTCCACTGGTATATAAATTTACCTATTTTTATGCCAGCACCATACCGTTTTGATTTCAATAGCTTTTAAATCAGAAAATTAAATTTTAAAGTAAGTTTTTAAGTCAGAAAGTGTGAGCACTCTAACTTTCTTCTTCTTTAATAGAGATTGTCTTAGCAACTCAGGGCCCCTTGCAAGTCCATATGAATGCGAGCATGGGCTTTCCCATTTCTGCAAAAAAAAAAAAAGAAAAGAAAGAAAGAAAAAAAGAAAGAAAGAAAGAAAAAGCTATTAAGATTTTGATAAGAATTACATTGAATCTGTAAATAGCTTTGAGTCATATTGACATCTTAGCAATGTAAATCTTTCCATGAACATGAAATGTCTTTCCATTTATTTAGATTTTCTTTAATATAGTTCAGAAATGTTTTCTAGTTTTAAATGTCCAAGTCTTTTACCTCCTTGGTTAAATTTATTTCTAGTTCCTTTATTCTTTTAGATGCTATTGTAAATGGAATTGCTTTCTTAATTTCCTCTCCAGACTGTTCATTGCTCCTGTGTAAAAACACAGTTGGGGTGTGTGTGTGTGTGTGTGTGTGTGAGTTGACCTTGTACTCTGTAACTTTCCTGAATTTGTTTCTTAGTTCTGGTAGTTTTCTTGTTCATTATTTGGGATTTTCTGTACATAGAGTCATGACATCTATGAATAAAAATAATTTTACCAATTTTTTTCCAACGTGGATGCCTTGTATTTCTTGTTCTCCTCAATTCACTCTAGCTAGAACTTCAATCCGCTGCTGAGTAGCAGGGCTGTAAGTGAACATTCTTCTCTCGTTACTGATATTAGTGGGAAAGTTTTTGGCCTTTCACCATTGACTATAATGTTAGCTGTGGGTTTTTCGTAAATGACTTCCTTCATGTTACAGAAGTTTTCTTCTATTCCTAGTTTTCTGATGGTTTTTATACTAAAATAGTGTTGGAATCATCCTGTTTTGAGTAGAGAATAACTGAAACACAAAATAACTCTTCGCTTGGTCTCTGGTTCTCTTATCATACTGAAATTTGTGTGTTGTTGCTCATCTAACAGGAACAAGAATTAGACTTGGCCAGAGGAGGAAATCACTTTGGATTCTGGCCAGTGTTTGATATACAATCTTTGCTGCTGACCTGGACACTTCTACTTTCTTAGATCATGATATATGTCACTTCTGCCTATAAATCCAGACTGTACACATGCCTTGGCCCTGAACTTGGCACAGGGTCTTTCGACTCACCACAAATAGTCTACAGTCCCTCATCTGAGCCCTAAAGACTACACTGACGTTACACGCACAACCCCAGCTTCTACAGTAAATGATTCCTTCCCACCTTCCCCAAGCTCTGGCCTCTTACTCAGTCCCTCTAATCTACCACGCCTGAAGTCAGCCTTTCTGCATGTCTACTCAAACCTGTCTCTCTTCCCCAGGCTTGCTGGGCATTCCTGCTGGCTTGATTGTTATGGTCACTCTGCCTCGAGAGCTACCTTCACAGAGTTCTCAGGGTCACTCAGACATCACCACTTCCAGTCTCTCCTCTGGGCTGATCCAATCGTAAACTCCAGCCATCTCTGATTTCCACCAAAAAACCACTTCATACAAGATATTTGTGTAGAGCAGACTACTAGAGGTTTGGGAAGATGGCTCGCTTTCATAGCACAGTAACAACAAAGCAGAGTCTTAGATGTCATCACTCTTAAAAAATACCCTCAGCTATCTGTGCTGCTTGAGGATCCAAGACTCCCACATTATTGCATATGCCCTTCTCTCTTCCATGTCACTGCTCACTTCATTACACAGAAAAGTTGAGCTCTTTTGTTTTCATCTATTCTAAAGCAGATTCTGGCAGCCCATTGCAAATCTACAGACTCACTCTTGTGCTAGGTCTCACTCTTTTTCTTCCCTCCAGCCACCGGAAAAGAACAGAATAGTATCCTGCTCTTATGAATTAGGATGCCTCCCTTAGAAGAGGAAAAAGGCTACAGTCATCTTGGGTTTTAAATAGCAGTCTCTCTCTCTCTCTCTCCCCCTCTCGTAATACAATTAAATATTGAATATTTAAATACCTTATGCTAAAATATAAAATACTGTATAAATTCCCTAATTCCATAGTTTCCAAACTGTGTACAGAGGTTCCCCAGGGCACTGCAGTGAACTCTCAGAGATGCCATGAGATATTTTATATTTTATACTTGCAAACTACCAGCTCTAGGTGGTTCATAGTTTCAATATTAGATCATACTACATTCCTTTTGATAATTTCATATCTTTGCAATGCTGAGTTTTCTATGGTTGCTTTGATAAAAAAGCAGGTAACATTCTAAAATCAATGTGTAAACAAGAAATAGAATGATGGGAACCAATTTGATTCCAAGGATTGAAAAGTTTTGCAGTGGTCAACTGGCGTAGACATTCCATTAGTAAGTAATTATAAATATTTTGGAATAAAATATAAATATTTTTCTTCATGTATATATACACATACACATGTACACACATATATAAAGTTTTATATATTTTTATTTACATATATAAGTTTTACATATAAAAGTTTTATATATATGCATATGTGTGTGTGTATATATATATATATATATATA